GTGCATCGTCATCGAGGTGGGAAATTTCAAATCGGGAGTTTGGTGGGTGCGGCTTCCTGCGGGCCGTTGGGGCACACACGCGCGGTGACCGTTGTCGCGCGCCATGCATCGTCATCGAGGTGGGAAGATTGAAATCGGTCGTATGTCGCTGCTGCTCGAAGCCGTTTGGAAGCTGCGTTCTGGGCAAGGGATGTTTTGCCGCGGCACGTCCGCATGCCAGTACAAGAGGAGCACGTTTGCTGCAGGTGGCTGCACCGGCGTTCGCACGTGCTTCTGCAAACCTCTGTTGTCGTTTCCTGTCGTGTGCGCTGTGCTGCGACGTGCATGGTGGACCATTCGAGGAAGTTGTCGCTGCTTTGTGTTCTCGTCCTCCTATTGCTGCTCCTGCTCATACTGCACCTGTGGTCTTCGAGGCGTGCAAGGGTTGTGCCCTGCAAGTGGAAGCTGACAAGATCGAGCAAGCATCCGGCGTGTAAAGGAGGGATGGGTGCCGGCGACGACGAGGCGGACATGTTCATGTACGGGGGTATGGGGGGTGGCGGCGAGTGCTCTTTTCCATCGGATACACCATGTTACGATCCAGCGCTTTATGCGCACCTGCCGCCGCATCTTCAACCCCTTCCAGACGATGATAATTGGCAGCCACCTCCATCGACATTCGACCTCGCGCACGGCTCCACACAGTCCATATCGGACAGTGGAGTGTGGGTGCGAGATCAGCGACCGAGGCAGGGGCCAATGACGTCACTTCTGTTCGACGGATTGCAGCAGGGAATGTGCCCACTCCTCGATCTGCAGTTGTCTTCGGGGGGTCGCCCTGCTGCGTCACGAACGCTTATCATCAATCCCGCCAGCCGTTCGGAGGGCGACGCGTCAGTCGGACAGTCGGCTCGGCGGCCGGGTGGTGCGAGCTTGCAGACAACAGCCGCGCTTGCGAACACCAACATTCATGCAGTTCCGACGGTGACGCGACCGTCGGCGAGGGTTCGGGCATCATCAGAGGGTAGGGAAGCCCATGTCGTGGACGACATCATCGCCAAGGTGTCCACGATGCGCGCCACGAGTGACGGAGATGGCAGTGCCGGTGGGGGTGCGGACTGTGAAATCGTGGAAGATGCAGCAGGAGACGACGTGGAGGACGAAGACGACGAAGTCGATGATGGAGCCATGGCCTAAGACAAAGAGTCAGAAGAAAACGTCGGCGAGGAAACCAGCTCCGAAGGGGCGGGCGAAGGGGAAGGCCAAGGATGGGGATGGCGAGAGCGGTGGGGGAAGGATAATATGGAGTCTGGACGACTCCATTGCCCTCGTCCGCTGCAAGAGGGAGCAGGACGAAACTCTTGCTGCGGCGGGCCATAACTTTGCAAGGATGAAGACGAAACAGTGGAAATGGACTGACATCGGGAAGAGGATGGAGGTGCTGGGAGTGAACCGTGAGTGGGATGTGTGCATGAAGAGATGGGAGAATATCTTCTCGTGGTACAAGAAGGTGCAATGGAGGGAGAAGGAGTCCGGGTTGCAGTCGTTCTTCACGCTAACGCCGAAAGAACGAGCCGATAAAGGGTACAAGTTCCAGATGGATCGCCGACTTTACGAGGCAATCCATGCCGGTCAGCACGGTAATCAAACCATCCACCCGCCGAATGTGGTGGACACAAGGGCTTCTGAGAAGCTAGGTGCAAACAACGGCGGCATGGGCGAAACTTCTGCGAGTGATAATGGCGATGGGGAGGCCGGGAAAGGCTGCGCGAGCAGGTCGTCAAGCGGGATGAAGTTCACGAAAAGGAAAAACGCAAGGCAGCAGGCTTTTGAGGCGGTGACGGATGTCATGTCGACTCACTCAATAGTCGTCGCCGATTCAGTGGACAGGGCCAGCAAACGACAGTGCGACGTTCTTCAACGACAGTGTGACATCATGGAGAGGGAGGTCAAAGTGGAGGAGACACAATGCGGCGTGATGGATGCGGGCCAGCGGATGTTGTGTGACGCTTTGTTGAAGATCGCGGAGGCGTTGTCACGCCCGTAGGAGGCGCGGCGTTGCAAAGTTGGCATAATTGGGGGCGGACATGTTAGGCCGTTGGAGTTGGGAGTGGGTCGTTGGGGGGGGGGGGGGGGGAATTGGGGGCGAAGCGGGTTTTTTGCTACGAATCGGAATAATCACCTCTCGCCCACCCCCGTTGTTTTTGTTCCGTCCATCCGTGGCTGGCCATGCGTCGCAAGGGTTCTTCGACGGTGCCGTCTTGCATTTCCGATCGCCGCGCTGGGGTTTTTATGTAGTACGAATGGCTGAGATCTTCCATGTTCTTATTTTCCGTTTTTTTTTAAATATTTTTTCCTTGCCATGGAATGCATTTTTTTCGTATCTGTGTTCCAATGGGCACCTCCGTTTGGAGCTGTTGAATCACGAGTGGTCGACGACGAACAATGATGAAATTCCGACGGTCTCCCACTGTCCAATTTGCACCTCCCCACTCCCACACCCGTGCCACCTTCCACTGGCCTATATAACAGCGGCATACGTGCTGGTTATGACTGTGGTGCAAGGTGGTGGTCGTCGGCAGTGTCCTGCCGTGGCCGTTGAAGGCTATCGGGGGGGGGGGGGGGGGGGGGGGGGGGGGGGGGCGGAGGGGGTGGGTGTAGCCGGAGGTTGGGCGGTTGAACGAGAGTGCAGTGTCTGCAAACGGGTCGTCAAGGAATATTCCACATCGCCACGCAAGATCGACAACCATCTCAGGCGGACGCGTGAGCATGGACATCGTCATCTGTTGTCGCGGCGTGGTGCTTAACCGCACTGTCGTCTTCTACGAGTATCGGCACAGGAGAGGCAACTCGCACGGAAGGGAAATGGAATTCGATCATCATGTGAACCACGAGGACTTTCGGTATTACAAAGTGGACGCCAATGCAGTGACATGTCTTGCGGTGGTCGTAGGGTTCGGATTCGGTCGACGGGCGCTTCGCGAAGTCATCATGCACATCACGAGGGTCGGAACGGCTGTGCCGACCAGGTTCGTTGGCGGAGTGGACGTGTTGGCGGAGATGGTGCGCATGATGATCACTAATTTCGCCATGGAGTTCCGTGACCGCCTGCACCGCCCGGCCACGTACACGGTGGTCCTTCATGAGCCTTTCGAGCAGAGGGAGGACCTGCATGGGGATATCGACATTTTGAGGAAGGGTATGTTCTGACAGACGTTGTCATTTGCTCTCTTTCTATTGGGGCGGACTGCCGGTACTTGTCATTTGTGAAGTCGGCGACGGACGCGTGAACATGTAGAGATTTAAATCCGTCGCATGAGCATGTCCAGGAGAGAGATGGATCTGGATGAGAGAGAGAGAGAGAGAGAGAGAGAGAGAGAGAGAGAGAGAGAGAGAGAGAGAGAGAGAGAGAGAGAGAGAGAGAGAGAGAGAGAGAGAGAGAGAGAGAGAGAGAGAGAGAGAGAGATGGAGAAGGGTTTGTATTGATTGTCGCCTTCATCAACCGTGGATTTCCGAGATCGTTTTGGTTTTTGTTGTGTGTACAGTGTGTGGACACGGGTCGCCAATCCTTCCTTTCTTCATCCTTCCTTCAATTTTGTCTGTATGCTGTGTCGGACAAGTGGAAATCATTTGTCTCTGCGTGTGTAAACGAAACCAGCTAATGTGTTCATGATGCATTTACCGAAACACATGACAATGGTGGCGGTGCAGTTAACAAGAAAACTGAAAAGGAGCGATAGGCCATACTTTCAGTGTTTTTATTACCACTTCGATTTTTTTTTGTCGTTTTTGTTGTTTAGGTCGCAATCGTCCCGTCCGAAAAGAACAATAATCACTCGGTGGTATTGAGTTATTGACTTGTGTTGTATTTTTTTTGTCCGTGAATGAAAGCTTGAATGGTTTGGATTTCCCTTCCAACACAACAATCAATCAATCATACCTTTGGAATAAATCAATCGTCAATCGCCGATATTGATTTATGTTTCCCTTTCGAATCGTCTCTTTCAATACAACAATCAATCAATCGCCGATATTGATTTATGGACTTGTCCTTTTTTTTCTTTCCGTAAATGATTGATTACTATGGAATTCACTTCGAATACAAAATTCAATCGATCGTGCCTTTCAGATAAACCAATCGACCATTCCAATAGCTTTCCCTTTCGAATCGTTCCTTTGAATACCACAATCAATCAATATGTGACATTGATTTACCGACTTGTCGATTTTTTTTATTTTTATTTTTTCGTTCGTTTATGGATTGATCGATTAGCACGGACCCTACGCCCCCACACCCCCTGTCGAAACCCATGTCACGTTGGCTGCTGTTCCCTTTCAATATAATACTTGGGGATTTGAAATCGTTCCGTTTTTTTTTTTCCACTCCAAAGTTTGCAAACACGTTTAAGGAGGTCGAGAACGGAAAAAGCACATCACACGGAAGTACATAACACATACAAAACATGTTGTCAATGAATTTCAATTCGTCAAACGCAAATAAAAAAAGGAAATCCACTCGCACTCCACAAATTTGAAACCCTGTTGCAGAAAGCACACGCCGAAATTCAATTCACAAGTATTACATATATCCTAAGTCTCCAATTAAGTGGGGCTTATTAGAGAATCCTCTTCCTATCCAACGTATATATAGCTTGGCTAGCCTACCTCTTTCTCTGGTGTCGATCAAGGCGCGTTAGCGGAATTTTCCAGTTTCGAAATCGGATATTATGTTATGAAAGCTTTAGACACAAGATATACTCCGTGAGGTGGTTACATGGACGTAGATGATACATTCAGGACCGCTCTCTTTCCATGTCCCCTGGGATGCTAACCGCCAAACCTCAAATTGACGGCCCAATGGCCTCTCCATCAGTTTTTTTTAGGGGAGTATGCTAATATGATATCAATGAGTAGTTTATGTACTCTTTTATTTTTGGGTGGTTGGTTGCCCATCATGAATATGGCTATTGTTTATTGGATTCCGGGCTCGATTTGGTTCAGTATAAAGGCCGAAGGCTTTCTGCTTTTATATATTTGGGTTCGTGCAGCATTTCCACGATATCGTTATGATCAATAGCTACCGACAAAGGGATGGAACACATTGACATACACATCACGTCTGTTTGAATTAAACCTTCTTACACATACGGTAAATTTATGACAAAGCATGCCACATCATCTAACCATCAACGTGCAAGCATTGATTACTTTCGCTGGCAAACGAAAGGATTGACTTGCACGATTCCTAAAAGATAGCGGGTGGCTCTAAGTACAGTCCACCCATAAACTATCGAACCCTAGAACCCCTCCCTTCACCCTCCTCCTCCTTAGCATTCCCCCAGCCCCCCCCCCCCCCCCCCCCCCCCCCCCCCCCCCCCCCCCMCCCCCCTTCCCCCCCGCCATCCCCCGAGCAATCCGAACACACCCGCAGAAGCCACCATCGTCAAGCCATAGTCGGGTGCATTCGAAAGCTAAGCGCGTCGCGCAATGCAAGGGCGTCGTCGGTGGCATCATCCTGCGACACAGGGGCAGCAGGTTCATGCATACCCAGATCGATGGGGCGCTCGTTGCCGTCGGCGTCCCTGTCAACAAGTAGACGCTCGTCAAATTCGATGCCAGCCTCGATCAGCAAGTTGTGCAAAATACAAACGGCGGTGAATTGCTGGGGCAGATTCTCCATGTTCGTCTTGTGCTGGCGCAGAAACAGCCGCCACATCCCCTCCAGTCTCCCAAATGCCCATTCGACAACATTCCGTGATGACTTGTGACACGTGTCGAAATGCGCCTCGTCGGGAGGTTGCACCACTCCACCGTAAGGCACCACAAGCCAGGGCAACGGTCCATAACCGTTGTCCGCGAGGACGTACCCCCTCGTTCGCACCCCGTACGGCAGGTCCACCGCATCCGCCAAGAACAAAGTGCCAGCTTCTGCACGTCTGTACAGTGACGAATTGATCAAAACCCTAGCGTCGTGGATGCTGCCCGGATACCTGACGTGAACATCCAGCACACGCATGTCGAGGTCGACGACGACTTGAGCAATGACAAAGTACTGCTGCTTTCGATCGAAATAGTTCTCCGCTAGCGCATTTGCTGGCTTGTCGACGTACACGTGGCTGCAGTCCATGCAACCAAAACAGTTTGGAAATCCCTTCGCTGCGAGCGCTCGTGTGACCTGCAGTAGCCGCCGACCTGTTGGCATCGCTATCTTGTCCGGATACGCAGACAAGATAGCGTTCGTCACGTCCCTCACCACCTTGATACCACTCGACCGCCCCATCCCAAATGACGACGTTGCACTGTCAAACGTCTCGCCGCTCGCCCACCTGTACAGAGCGAACGCCACCAGCTGCTCCGGCATCAGTGGAGTGCGGTAATGAGTGAGGAACCGTTGCAGAAAAGGAGTGCAGGCGGCGACGATGTCGTAGAACGCCCCTCTCGTCATTCGTAGTTTCTCATGAAAATAGTCCTCTGTGGCGTCATCATCAATTATGAGATCTTGCCATGTTCCGCCAGTTCTCCTCCGGATCCACCACCGTGGCGTCTCCCTAGGAAGGACACCCGACACAATGGCATTCGCCATAAGGAATGGCGCATCCCAAACCGTGGCGGACGAATTCGAATCCGCCATGGCGTGCGTTGCGATGGCCTCCCTCAACCCAGCTCTTCTCCCCGGACTGCGCCGCAATGCCGCTGTGTGCTGCAGATGTGTCGACACGGCGAGCAACGATGTAACCACCAGGCGTTTCTCACGGTGGGACAGTGCTCGACGACGTGGCGCGGAGCCGTCCGCCGCCACGCACGAAAATTGGATGTCCTCCATGGAGAACAGCTATGGCAGTCCACTCAACGCACGGTGCAACGAACAACTCCCGACGAAAGAAAACTGGCGGCGGTGTCCACTGCCGTCGCACGCGTCGAAGTGCAGTACAAGGCCGTGTCCACTTCCGCGCGGATCGCTATCTGTAGGCTGCACAGCGCCACACTCTCCCCACTATAGAATTTGAATTTGAAAACCCGCCGTGCGCGCGCTCCCACACTGCTCCTCGACCCGACCGGTCCCCAGAGTCCCAAATGGCACATCGTAGGCGGACATATTGAAGGTCGGGTGCCGGCCTACTGGATCGAAAACCCGCCGCTGGGTCTCCGCACAAGGGGGAGCCAGGGTGTTTTTCTTTCAAGTGCGACATTTTCAAGTTCGGTCTCTAGTGTGCATGGAACGAGGACGCGGCGTAGTGTAAATTAATCAAGATTTCGCGATTAGGGCGCACTTTAAACTCAAGAGTTCTCAAGTGGTGTGGAACGAGGCTCTAA